CGAAGAGAAGCCTTTCTTTAAGGTTTTCAAGTTATCAAAGGTGTAATTACAACGAAGTCACTGCCGTCTAAATCGAGATTCGAGCGTTATAAATGTAGTCGAGAAGTGAAGTTTCGAAGCAATATCACCTGGTGTTTTGTGTTTTTTGGATTATTTAAGGTGATTAAGATTTTTTGAATTGTGACTATCGATCGCTTGTTGCGTGGTATGTGTATTCTGGCCCTGAGTGCCTATTTTTCTTTCAGCCTATTTGATTGTTTTATGTCGAATTAATTTGTTCATCTGTATATGGCTGGCTTTGGGATTAGTCGAGCTGAATTTACGACCCAGATAAGAGTTCTCAAGTTAGTTATTTCTAAGTTAATAAATGATAGACGGTGAGTATAAAAATTGCTGTGTAAGTATTTTCAATGGTAAGTCAACTTCAAGCAATCGGTTTGCAATGTCTTTACTTTTTCCTTAGCTAATGCCTCATATACAGAAAGTGTCATTTTGTTTTTCATAGAAAGAAATAACGTTACACGGCTCAATAAGAATGGGCATTCAAGTAGAAAATAAATAAATCACAGTGTCTGTCTTGGATCCTCAAAGGTAAAATTGAGACATCAGTCTTGATTTCCCTTCAAAATCGCTGGAAGCAAAACAAATTGAATGAAAAGATATACCGAGATAGTCAACAAATAGGCCGCTGGAATTTTTTCCTTTCCGCCGACATTTATTCTCTTATTAGTTTAGTTTATTTCCGTATGGTTACGATTAGCGATAAAAAAGTTGAAGTGGCCCTTCTTACAGTGAGTATAGGTCGGAATTAGTGAAAAATAAACAGGGAAAGTTCCCACCAAAAAGAGAGCCTAAGAAAATAGAGAAAAACGACATGTCTGGCGAATAGAGAAAAGGTGCGGCTTCTATACACACAATGAGGGTAGATAAATAAAACTACTTCTGCCTTTTGACACGTTTTAACCGAAAAGTATTAGAGTGTCCGACCTCGATCAATTTTCATTTATTTATGGGACACCGAAAGCTTCGCCATAATGTCTTAATAATTTACGAGAAAATTGCTCGAGATAAATTTAGAAGGGAAATGCAGTGTAAATTTTAATTCGGATCGATCTAAATCACTATGGAGGAAAATGCACCAACGCGAACTTCGCGGAAACTGCACTTTATTTCGAAGTTAGGAGACCGTTTTCGTTTTATTTAAATTTTCTCGTTGTTCATAATATGGAGGATGCCGCAGTACACGTTCCACTTCAACTTTTCCATGTTTTCACGTTAACCGTCGACTTATCGCTTATCTTGTCCTTTTAGGTTAACGATACAAAGGAGCATCTAACTTTATCCTGTGGAAGTTTTCCGTACACGAGTTGTTTCAGTGGAAATTTACGCCGCTTCCGTTTAGAGGAGTCGAATGCGGCATTCTGGTTTATGTATGAATTTATCTCGCGGAGTGATACCGAATTTGTATGGATGCTCGCATATGCTGCCTTTTGCACTATAAATTTCCCGACAATTACCATGTCTTGCGTGTCTTAGCTTTATTTTCATCACTAATTTAACTTCGAATGCCTTCGGAATAAATTAAAGCTTCTTGCGCGGAAATTTGTCGGGAAATACGAGTTATGTTCGCATGTAAACCGTAATTTATTTATTCCCCCCTTTAAAATGTCGCTATGACACGTATAATTTTAGTTGATGTGTGTTTTTTAGTTGTGAAAAGACCTTTGAAGTTGAAAAAACTTGCAGGTGTTTCTTTGTGTAAAATTTCTTTATATTTTCAGATTGTTCGTTAAGATTTTGTATAAAATGGTCAGGTGTGTTAAAAGTTAATGGATGTGCATCAGTTTCAAGTGGTAGTGGGGTTAACGATAACGGGTTGATTATAAAAGACGCTGTTGTAAAAACAACCTGAGAGACGTTTACAGGTAGTATGTAAGGCGGCAGACCGTCACTGCTACCAAACTGAAGACTGAAAAATGCTAAGTATATATCATTTTGGAGGGGGACCGTCACTGCCGCATGGTCGTAATCTGCTTTGTAACTTCCGGCCGCCAATTTGAGATCTCTGGTTACCATGGATAAAATATGCATCAATACCTTTTGTTTTAATCTCAATTAATTTAAAGAAACTGTGTATTACGTAATTTTCTTGTCTCTTTGAAATTTGTGACGTTATTTTCTTTACCGTTTAAATCTTTGCTTTGGCTGCATTTGAATTACGATGTGGATCCTTCTCGAATAACATTATGCGAACTCTTACCTTTATATAGCAATCCTTACACCATCTAGGTGTTCACATTGTAACCCGATCCGTTATTTGTGATATAGCTTTCTTTTAAAACCTTCCCGTCTAGATTTCTGTTGCGCGTTTTCTCCCATTTGCTGTTGACGCGCGCATACGTTGTTGATGAACTCGAATCGATCTTGACTTGTACTTGAGCTACACGCCATTACACTTACTTGACTACCTTTTTGGGATATTATATGTGCTGTTTGTATTAAGGTTAGTGAAGTTTTTCTCTTATTATCTTACTTCCAACTTCGCTGACGCATTTCTGCGGATTTATCTTACAAGATTAAGGCCGTTTACGGTATGTTATCTATGACGCATTATCTTTTTACTTTAAATAATCTATTTCAGGCTACTTTCGTACTCTCTGAGTACTTCTTATTTTGGAGTTACCAATTGCTTCCTGATTGTGCATTGATATTTCTAAGTGGAAACGCGAATTCCCGATTTTCGATATTGTGCAAGAGAATTCCATTGAAATATCGACGCCATTACCAATCAAAAACTCCCTGCATATTTCTACCTTACCGACTGAAGAATTACCGTCATTTCGTGTGAAACCGATTTGAACTGATGACCCAATTTTGCAAAGTTCGTTGACCTACGATTGATTCCTCCGAAACGCAAGTACCTAAATAACAAGACGTGTGGAGTTGGTACTGTGTAAATCGTTCGTATGTGTTTGTATACCCAGTTACCAATTACGTTTAGTTTTGTCGTTACCGAAGTTTAGATTAACGATAATATCATCTACGATCGACATCATATTTGTGTTACTCCGATACTTATATTTGTTAGTTTACTGTATTTTATTCTTCATATTAACTACTTTTGTTTGTGATCTAGTTCTTAAAATTGCCGAGACTTTGTTCGAAGCAAATTTCTACAATTTTAATTAACGTTATGTATTTTGCTCTGAAGAACTTGTTCGTGTAAGTTTGTTTTCATTTGAATTGATAAGATTGCTTTGTCATTGAAGAGAGATTCCGTTATTTGTACCTTTCATAGTATTTTTTTCTTAAGACTTCATGTCACTTTTAGATATCTCATACCGATTGTAAAAACCAACCCTTAGTCGAACCAAATTTTGTTTTCTCGTAAAGTCATTTGAATTTTTGATTTTTGTTTAGTATTGATTGCCATTCTATGTATAAAAATAACCCGTCGTGTCTTACGTTAACCATTGCTTATGCGATATATTGTGCAACACGAATCATTATCCTTTTTATATTTTTTTGTTTGTGTGTCTGTCTGTTTACAGATTTGCAGTTTCGCGTCCTCTGAGCTCAGAAGGGTGCGACCGTAGTTCAAAGGTAAATTTAGTTGTTTTCGTCGTTTTTCCCTTTTAACGCTTGATTACATTTTGGTTTTTGATACTAACGAGTTGATTATTACTTTGTTTGAAAGTCACTTAATGATTATAGCTCCGTTGTTTCTGCGGAAGCTCCTTTTGGATAAATACTTTCCCCGGCTACGTTGTTTTTATTAGAGATTATTTTAAATTCCCATTTTGACATACCAGATCTATATATATTACAGTGTCAGATTTGTATTTTGAGATCATTGTATTACAGTATTAAACCACCCGCTTTTATGAGATCAAATATTGTTTATGTTTCTTTCCCCGTAATTGTGCATTCCTTCGAGTTTAGTAAGACGAGAACAAGGATCTCTTAGTCTGCCTTGTTTATCCCTTTAGTAAGTATTCCTCTCTCTGTCTCTCTAGATTTATCAAAGACTAAGTGGCGCCTATCCGGATTACTTTTACTGTTTCCTTCCCTTTTTGGCTTATTTGTGTTTGTATAGAAGAACCCCATTTTCACCCCGACCCACCTCTACTTTGCCTGAGCTTACCGTGTGCTTATCTAAAGTAATTTTGTCACGTTGGCCCAAAGTGAACGTAACAAATTCATATAACTAAAATTCACTTTGTCGTTGCGATCAAGCACTCATTAATGGATGTCAGTTTTCTATTTGCCTATCCAACTTCGTATCTTATTTCCTATCTTCGCTTGTTGTTATTTTATTGAGAATTCGAGTACTGCTATCTTAGTCTATTTCCAAGTTTAGCGTATGCCTTCAGATTATGGAGCAAACATTTGCTTCCGAAGAGCTCTAAGGAAGTCGAAGAATTGGGTAAGTCAGTCCTTAAACTTAAAACTTTCAATGCCATAAACAGAATAAATCTAGCTACGTTTGTTTCTGAGATACAGGGTGAAAACGAAAAAAATGTTATCATATCTTACTATCCATGTAAGATAGAAAAAGGTAAAAACTGCCTATTTTAGATATTTTACGTAGTTCCAGTGGCGTAGTAAAAAATTGGACTACCTTTTCTGAGATCTGGCCCAAAGTTGGTATTTTTTAAATGCAACACCCTGTATATCTTAGCGTCAATTTTGTTTCATTCTTTTTCCTAATTACATTAATGTATCGCTATCTAAGAAGAATGCTTGTCTAAACCAAATTTAGAAACGCGGGGCTTTTTCAATCTGAAAATAATGCATCCAAAGTTGGTTTTTCAAAATTTCGAAAAATAATTCCAAGTGTAAACCTGGGCACAAAAGTTTGGTAGGTACAGTATTTAAGAATAAAACTGCTGAATTTTCAAAAAGCAGTTTGCGCATTTTATGTCCGTAAAAATTTTGGACCTTGACTTTATTTGGAAAACATATTTGTTTAACGGCATAGTTAACTGGTTCACACTGTATAGATAAAACTGTAAAACCAACTTTTCCAGCACTACCGCCTAAGATAGATTCCCCTTACCGTATCGTAGGTACTTAGAAAACGTCCTAACACGTCATTTCTATGGCTAAAAGATATCAAAAGCGCTAGTCTAGAGAACAGTTTGTTGCATGTGGGCTTGTATTTACAAAGGGAATGTGATAGGTCTTGTAACGGGTGCACGTGGTGTTTTCCGTTTTTTGCATATTGTATATATTGCGGTGTTAGGGGGGTAACTTGACGTTCTTCTTTAACAGATCCGTAAGAGGGGAAATTAGTGAAGAAAAGTTTAGTGTGGAACGTCTGTACCAAGAACTCATGCCGGTGATTCTTCTGACTTCAGGAACTATCGTCGGAATGGGAATCTGAGTATGCTTCAACTTTACCTAGGTCTACCAGGTAAAATTTGAGCCTTGACCACATAGCATTAACCCACTCTTACAAAAATTGCAGAAGATGGTGTTCAAAAATTGGAGTGCAAATTGTGATGTCATCCAAGTAGCTGAATACATGGGGGGAATTGTGAAGTCCGAAGGGCATCTACGGAACTGGAAAAAACTTCTGTTGGGTACTGTGAACGCGGTATATGGCTTCAGTGAGTCTACCATTGGTATATGCGAATATGCGGACTTGATGTCAAGGGTCATTAAGTATCTTGCATCCCTTAGCTTGTCGAGAGTGGCGTTGACGTATGGGAGAGGATATGCATCTGGTTCGCGGACTTGTATTTAATCGCCGGAGGTCTACACAGAAGCCATCCCAAGCTCGGATTGTTTATTATGAATTGCGCCCAACGTGGGATTCATATTTTAAAAAACATCGCCGATCAACGTGCAGGTATCTGTCAAAAAACGTTACTTTGCGTTATTTCGTATGGGAAAATAACGTTTTGTGTAGATAATTACCTACACGTTAAATTTAACGTTACTGACAGAATACAGGGCTGAATTTCTTGACATATATAAGAACTGCGTCATTACGTCCGACGAGAACACCCCACGCGGAATCACCTTGCTGCTGCAGGATGCAGGACGATGTCGCCATATGGTGGCAGGGAACCTCTTCCAAACACAAGGCGAAGCTGACAAGACGGAATTGTTCATAGTCCAGAAACGTGCCATTCTCGCAAGGATGGACGAGGACATCAGCGAGACACTACAAATCCACATGGTTACCACCTTTATCATCTTACAATGTCTTATCCGATTAAATAAAAGAAACAATTTCGCATTTTTATCTAATAATCACGTAATTTCAATTTACATGAACAAAGACGAACTAGCCATAGCCAAAATAATTGCGTACCATGAAACTTTCGAAAGTTATCGACTACACTCCCGATGAAAAAGAGTTTCAATAAAAAATGACACAATGTAAATCGAGTAACATCATGGTAAGTTGGGCGAGAGATTTACGTTCTGCTTTACAATTGGGCTCAATGCCGTCCCACGGCTCCAAAAGAATAATTGAACACCAATTTAAATATCGATTAGTTTTTAAGTTCCTTAAACAATGCAAATCCTGCATTTGTGTAAACGTTCGCATCATTAAGATTCTGATACTTCGCAGTACTTCCGAGAAGCTTTCAGTAAGTCTCGAGATACATAAAATTGCTTCTTGTAGAGGAAACTCGGATATTCGTAGCATTATTAATGACAGCGTTTCAATAATGCCCCAACAGAGAATTCAACGTGAATGCAGTAGATGTAGGGAAGCGGAATATTCAAGTATGCATAATACGATCAAGACTCTTACTGATGCCAAGCTAGGAATATTTTCAAAATTAAGTAAAATAGTGCAAGGCATTGATAGAAATGATTGAATTTCTAGCCATTATTAATGGGTTAATAATGGATCGAGGGTAATAATAAATAGATTAGCATTAGGTAAAATGAAAAGTAACAACTTACCATTATATGTTGGGACACTTACAAATCAATGTCGCTTTAGGATCCTTACCTGAAACAAAACACAATTTGCATGAATACTTAAATACCCAGTCAGCAAAACTATTGCTAATTTGCTTATTATTATTATTAAGATTTTTTTCGGAAAACTAGCGCTACATTATTATTATTATTATTGAATGATTAAGACACTTATTTGTGAGCTGCCCCCCCCCCCTTCTGCAATTCAATTCCGCTTATCACCTCTACAAAGTGCGTCCTTTAATTTAATACAATCTCATGATAAAAATAACGTTAAAAATACAATGTGGTCTTTTATATCTAACAATTTCCTTGTGGAGAGCAACCAATAATTAATTTTAAATTGAATCACAAAATTAACACCCGTTACATTCTTAGTCATGCAAAATTAGAGAAATAGTGAGAGAATAGAAAATGGAAAAGCATTTATGTATAAATACAAAAAAAAGAAGATTTCTAAATTAGAAAATATTTGATCATCATTAAATGATATTTTAAGAGAAATAACAATCCTAGAGACGAGTAACTTTGTAACGGGATTTTGGTAGATGGTCGTAGTCCTCAAATTAAAGTTGGAGTTGAATTTATTTAGGGTTGCGTGATATTTAGCATCGAATAGTATAAGATGTACTTTGTACACGGATGCTTCTTTAAAAGCTCTATTGTTGGGTTGGTAGCGCCAGTCTGTCGCATCATAAAAACAAACTTAATGGGTCGTACGTGACTGACGGCTGGTTCAGATCCGCGATTATACAGGGCACGTGAACAGCTGAGTCAAAGGTTTCCGGTAGCAGAGGTGTCTGGCAAATGCCTTTCGTGAGTTGATGAAAAGAAATCAAAATTATTAATAAAACGAATAAAAATTACCGTTGGAACCGATTAGCATTCATTTTGAAGGCGTATTTGCAAAACTTGAAAGAGTAGGGATTAAGCCGAGAAAGGCAGTCGGGGGGTATTAAGTGTGAAGCCACGGTGGGGCTCCAATTCGGATTCGGCGTTGTCACGAAGATGCTAAGTTGAAATCGCGAGAAGAAAAAATTAATTGCGTGTTAAATTGGGCGAGTATCGAGAGCGCGATAGAAAAAAAGTTTATTTTAGTCACGGGCAAGTGCGTGTCAAGAAGATCAAGATACGCGTGCGGTTACAAAAAAGCTCGTGTCGAAACTCCAGGGTGATTTTAACGTGTTATGTGAATTTGGGTACAAAACATTAGAAAAAATTGCGCGTGTAACCTTTGACTTATCTTATGATTAAAAGTTCATATAAACGTAAGTCCGTAAAAGCTTCGTTAGTGATCTACAGGGTGTTATCATTTCAAGATTTTAGTTTCTGAAAAAAAGTAGCGCTTATATATTCACTTTGGCTGTTCGGTAGGGCGGCCGGGTGCAAAGGTTTTCTAGGTATAACACAAGCGACGTATCGAGTACTTTCCAACTTGTTTCTTTATATTTCCTGCAGTTTTAGAGCTATTTTGCTCAAATTTGAAATAAAAGTTAAGCTGAAGGGTTTACATCAAGAATCAACAGGGTGTTGTTCCATTTTCTACCCTTGAATGTTTTCCGTGCGCCACTGGTAGATGGTAAAATAAGAATTTAATTTTCTGGTTTAAAAACTTTTTAGTCTCTTGTAATCATGTTTAGGAACACCCTGTACAGCAAATGGAAAGTTTCTAGAACGATCTCGAACACTATCGATAACGCTCACGAATAATCTCGAACAAAATACGTTTTTCCTTAAAACAATGCGCCCGATTCGTCTGCAGTACTTATTGCCGGTGATTAATCTTTTATGACGCCTCGATGTCTATCTGAATTCCTAGAAAATTCGCTATTGCATAACACGAACAACAGTGGAAGTCAGATGTGCGTAATTAAAACTGATTAAGCTTTCGACAGCAAAATGAACATGTTCAGCTAATTGACGTCAGTGTCACTCATCTGCCGTAGTAAATTTGTATGTGTAGATAGAACTTTTTAATAGTTATCACCTGGATTACGTTAACATTAGAGTATTTTGGAACTTCTAAACCAAAGAAGTCTTCCCGTTAAGAGCCTATATTTGAACCATTTTTCAGTCCATAAAACTTAGTCGGAGATGGTCAAGTATTCCAAGGTTGGACGACACAAAGGGTATTTTCAGTTGCTGTATAACTAGGGTAAAGTTTATCGTTCTATTTGTATTCAATACACACCGATTCCTTAAAGGCTATGGATAGATCGGAGTTTGCCGTTTAAGCAGTCAAAAGTGAAGACTCGGTCGTTTTATTTTTAAATGTTTAAAAAGAAAATTTCCACTGTAGTATGAACCCAGTTAAAAGAAGGACACAGTTTTCCATTTAAATTCAGTATTAAGTAACTGACATTTTCTAACTGAGAAACATATAAATATTAAGATTTGCATTTGTTTATAAAATGCAGATATTCCCTATTTTTTTCGTTGTTCGTTGGAAGAGTTATTAAATTAGTCCATAGGAAAATGACCACTTTAATATTTTAGTGCAATGACGTTAATATTGATTATTTTGGATGGCCGTAAATGAAGGCCGATTTTGATTGATCTGAAATTTTAATACAATATGTTTATATTGTGTCTTTATTTGCTATCAAAGTGGTTTAAGGTGGAACAGAATATTTTACATTATTACCGTCCGAAGCACCTAGTCGCCAAGTCTGGGGAGACGTTAACAGAAAGAAATGAAAGAAGAGAACTGCTCCTATGGTACCGTAATGGAAGGCCTAGATGAATGGAATTGTTTTCCATTAACCTCCATCACCTGGTGTAGGCGGTCATAGTTCTTCTGGAAATTGGGGGGGAGGGGGATGTGATGTGAGGAGATATATCTGTTGGTAGCGTTCAAACTGCAAGTGTGAATATTTCAAGAACGGACTGTCTTAAGAGGGTACCCATACAAAGGAAAAATGAAAGATGTGCCCAAGATGGGTCTGTAGGTGTTATCCAAAGTGCGAATTTCCCGAGAAGGGCATGTCGAAAGAGATACTCACAAAAGAATATATCAAAGGTCTGTTAAGAAGTACATATCTGTTGGGATGGCCAAAATACCAAGTGGAAATATCTCTAGAAAGAGGTACACAACATGCATTCTGGTGCACTTTTCTATACAAGGCGTCCTAACGAAAACTTGCCCTGTGGTGGGCGTTGTAGAGCCCACCACACATACAGGGTGATTCCTATAGTACCTGCCACCGTTTGGGAGCGTGTAGGTGGTGCGTAGGGGAGTATTTTGATATAGGACACTTGGGGTCGAAAATCTAAAATAAGGGTGCCAGAGCCAAATTTACCTTCTGGAATTTCGCGCCTGTAGGTAGGCAACCCAACCGGCCGGCGGTGCACACGGAGCGATCTCAGGCGGCGATGTGTGGCTGACACTTGATCAGAATTTTGTTTAAACCCACGAAATCCCGTCTGCAACGACGCGTATCAAGTGAATAAACACTATGGCACGTTTTACTAACACGGAATACGCGGACATGCACTTCATGTACGGATTGGCAAATGGTAACGCACGAGCTGCACGACGACCGTACGCTGAGCGGTATCCAAACCGTCAGTTACCCTGCAGACAGGTCTTTCAAGAAGTTCACTTCCGACTGTGCGAGAAAGGGAATTGCAGGTAAGCTGACGGAGGCTTAACTTTACACACAGATTCGTGATGCACATCGATACTTGGGTCATTTAAGCACCCATTTCGAAAAGTTTGTTTGTTTACACCGACCTCCTCCTATTTCGCAGCCCACTAGCGCCCGTGATCGCGATCGCCCGTTGGTAAATGCCTTAGAGGAGGATGTGTTGGAACGTTTCGAGGCAAACCCGCGTACTAGCACTCGACTTGTAGCAGATCAGGTGGGTTGTAGTCAACACACAGTGTGGAACATCGCCAACAACAACAACTTACACCCCTATAAGTTTAAGAAAGTGCAAGAGTTACGGCCGGGTGACCATGAAAGGAGGCTGGAATTCTGCAACTTAGTCGTCCAGGAGGAAGAAGCTAATCCGAACTTTCTGAGGAGCGTGCTAGTTACTGACGAGAAAGGATTCTCAAGAGAGGGGACCTTCAATCCTCGTAACAGCCACTGCTGGGCGGAGCACAATCCTCATGAAACGTTTACGCGAGGATAACAGGACAAGTTTTC